TCCTGGGCACAGGTAAAAATGTATTGGTCAGGACACAAAAAAAACACTAACTATAATACAAAAAATTGATAAAACAGACTCTATAAAAATTTCTGCTCCTCACAACATCATTGAGAAAGTAGACAAGGGAGAGACTGTGTAAAAAAATTGTCAACACATATATCTATGTACGTGACAAATAACTCGTACCTTGAATATATAAAGAGCTTCTATAAACAATAAAAAGATGCATGACTCAATGAAAGAATAGGTTAAAGACTTGAACAAATAATTCACAAAAGATACTACATAGCCAATTAGCATATGATAAAGCACTCAACATTCTTAATCATCAGAAAAATGTAAATTAAAACCATAATGAGGTACAACTGTACATCCTGTAGCTGACTAAAATTGAAAAGGCTGACAACACTAAAAATTGGCAACACGAAGAGTACGGAGCAAGCAGAACTCATCGTGTATAAACCACTTTGGAGAATTGTTTGGCAGATTTTTAACTTTGTTAAACACCCTGTGATCCAGTAACTCCACTCCTAGGTATTTATCAAGAAACTTGTAAAAGAATGTTCATAACAACCTTATCCCAAATATCCATCAAGAAGAAAACATAAATTAGGGTATATTCGTACAATGGAATCTATTTAGCAATTTAAAAGGACAAACCACTGATACTCACCAACAACATAGATGAATCTTTCTACATGAAGGAAACCAAACACTAAAAAGCACATGCTGTATGATTCCATTTATGTAAAGTCTAAGACCAGTCAAAAAAACTCTGTAGTGTCAGAAATCTATGGAGTCAGGAAGTGATTGCCTTTGGAGGAAGGTGAGTAAGGGAACTTTCTAGGGTGACTTAAAAAAAAATGTTTTCTATCTTATTTCGGCAGAAGTTACACTGTGTAAAATTGTCAGAACTCCTTGAACTGGATATTTAAGTTATGTGCATTTTATTGAATGTTAATTATACATCAATAAAAATACAAAGTAGCACTCTGCTTCAAGATATAGACTAACAATTTTGTTTCAAATGAAACTCAAGACTACATATGCATTTTCAATTACAGATGCATTTTCAATCATGTGCCACTCTGATTTATTCAATCTCTATTCTTTCATCATTGTAAATAAGCTAATGGATTATGGACACATATAGATACAAGAATGTATGTTCATGTATTTACTTTTTTATAAACAGCAAATTAAATTTGATTTACAATTTTAATAAGCACTTAGTGGACCACATATAAGTCCAGTAGAATTTTCTATTGTTTATACCATTTTTCTCTCCATATATTTGTGATTTTAAAGGATCTGACATAAAACCGCATGTAAATCAAACGTCAGCAATGACCATCAATAACCAAGGGATGATAGCACTTTAGCCATTATTACAGCCTAGAGAATAATGTCCTCCTCACCTATTCTAATCGAGAGAGCCCATGCATATTAAATTTAAGAGCAACTGAAAAGCATGAAGAATAGTTTGCCAACTACAACACAGCCTAAACATCAGTGTACATCAGAATGACACCAGAAAGCCTTATTAAAAGCCTTTTTTTCCCTCTACTCTTTACTGAATCTTCCTCTTTAACTTTTTCCTTCCCTCTATCTGGGTATATTTTTATCTCCACAGCCTCTCATCCTCCATGTGATATTTGTCAGATCCAAATGATTTTCTCTTTTGTTTTGTTTTTTGAGACAGGGTCTTGCTATGTCGCCCAGGCTGTCCTGGAACTCTTGGGCTCAAGTGATACTCCTGCCTCAGCCTCACAGTGGCTGGTATTACAGAAGCGCACCACAACCAGTTCTAATTATGTTCATGTATCTGGCTCATCTCAGGTTCCAAATAAAATAAATTTACAGAATTGCACTATACTCTAGGTAGACATGTCACAAACACTCCAACAGTATAGACAGTATAGCCTGGGGAAAGAGATGACCAGTGAATGGGAAAAAAGACTGACTTCATTTGTTCCCCACTCCTATAACTGGAAAAGATCTCTCCCGAATATCTACTATGCTTTTATTCCCCACAGGTGGCTCTTACAAGTGCTGTGAACTATGCCTAAGTACATCTGCCTAATCCCAAAGAGAATAAGGTCCTAGATAGGAATGTCATTCATACATATATACATATATATATGTTTTTTTTTTTCTTTTTTAAAGAGAGACAGGGTGTCACTCAGGCTGGAGTGCAGAGGCACAATCATTGCCGCTCACTGTAACCTTAAACTCCTGGGCTCAGGCAATCCTCCTGCCTCAGTCTTCTGAGTAGCTAGGACTACAAGCATCACCACCACATCTGGCTAATTTATTTTATTTTGTAGAGACAGGGTCTTGCTACATTGCCCAGGCTGGTTTCAAACACCTAGACTGAAGCAGTCCTCCTACCTTGGCCTCCCAAAGTGCTAGGATTGTATGTGTGAACCACCAGCCCCTGCCCTGGCCTCATGTCTTATACATATTCTTCAGAACCCCAAGACAGTGCTTTGCAGACAATGGGGCAAGACACATATTTGAATTCATGAATTGCCAAATTAATGTGAATGAAAACAATTAAGGCTAGAAGAGGAGGAGAGAAAAAAAAAAAAGCAAAGAGAGCACGCCTGTGGTCCCAGCTACTCAGGAGGCTGAGGCAGGAGAATTGCTCGAATCCGGGAGGTGGAGGTTGCACTGAGTCGAGATTGCGCCACTGCACTCCAGCCTGGCGCCTGGCAACAGAGCAAGATTCTGTTTCAAAAAAAAAAAGCAAAGAGACAAAAAAGGAACTAGCAAAGAGAAAGGAAAAGGAAAGAAAGAGAAAAAATTTATGAAGACAATTGTTCTTGTTAGAGTGAACAGGATTACAGTATTTTTAAAAATTGAGAGTTGAAAAAGCCATCTATTATGTATCTAGTATCAGTGATCAGCACAAATATTTAAATTATCATTATAAACACCTTAAAATATCTTTAAAATTAGGCCAGACATGGTGGCTCATGCCTGCAATCCCAGTACTTTGGAAGGCCAAGGCAGGTGTATCACCTGAGGTCAGGAGTTCAAGACCAGCCTGGCCAACATGGTGAAACTGTCTCTACTAAAAATACAAAAATTAGCCAGACTTGATGGTGCATGCCTGTAGTCCCAGCTACTCAAGAGGCTGAGACAGGAGAATCTCTTAAATCCGGCGGAGGAGGGGAACTCGGAAATTGCAGTGAGTTGAGATCCTCAGCCTGGGTGACAGGGCGAGACTCTCAAAAAAAAAAGAAAGAAAAAGAAAGAAGAAAATCTTTAAAATTACCTCCCCACACTTGATATTCAAAGTCTGATCTCTGACAGCAAGCATCACCTATCACATATATAGACTTTGGGCTCTACTTCAAACTTATACAATATCTTGAGTGAATTATGCATGTTAAAGTTTGAAAAGCACTGCCCTCCATTCATTCAGGTCCTTTCTTTTGTACCAAACTTGTTTTTTTTTTTGTTTCAGTGGGTCAGTAATTAAGACATGAAAAATCTCTGAACGGGATTTGACCTGTACAGTATTTAATTTCAAATGAAGTTATTAATTATAGTGTAAGTTGGCATATTGGATATACTACAAAATTTAGGAATTAATCATAAAAATGATTAAATAAAACTGATCAGTAAGTCAATAGCATTCTCAAGAACTCATGTTTGTTCTTTCTCATATCTAGCATAGGGCTTGGAATGATTCATATGGCCAGTGTTTCCTGAATGAGCAAAATAAACGAACTTTTAAAAATCAGAGATATTTAGGGGTGGAATAATCTTGGGGATCATCTGGTCCAACAACCTAATTTTAAAGATTAGCAAATTAAAAATTCTGAGAGTTGCAAAAGCAAAGAAAGCTCAAAGAGCCAAAATATATTGGGATATTTTAATTCGTTTTGTTCATTTCGTTGGGGAGAAAGGGGATTGTAACCATTACGATTGCTGAGTCTTAAAAGGTGAAAAGGTGCCTAGGAAGAAGAAACTAACAAGAGTAAATGAGCCTCGGCAAAGCGATTTTTCCAAACCTAATATATTTTGACGGGCCAATTAAATAATCAATTTAATCAGCCAAAAAAATTAACCTGAAGGTTTCTCAGAAAAGGAGACGCGAGCTGCATGAAAATGTTACAAACCAAGGGAGATTGCACATAACTAACTTAAATCTCCACAGGCTTATTTCCTGTTGAAGTATGGCCTCCTGGAATAAGTTTTACTGTCATGTTCATTACCAGATGACTTTTGGTTTTAAAAGAGGTCAAGGGCAAGTTAGAAATTTGATTATTAACTAAACATTCAAAATAAATAAGGAAACTTGGCTGTTTCCCATTTCTGTTTGTAATCAGAATGCAGGCTTGAGGAGGAAACACAGTAACCCCTGCAAGCAAAAATATAATGACCCAGTCACGTCCTCAAAACAAACTAACACACAAACTTCCCAGCCGGATCCAGCTGTGCTGCCTGGGTGCTAAGAATTTAATTCTAAGACAGATCAAAACGGCGAATGCAAGGGCAGCCACATTTCAATCACAAAACGGGTATGCCTTAAGTTTTGGTTCCCTCCCCCTCGACCACCGCCCACCGCCCCAGCTTTCAACAAACAGAAGCCTTTGAAGGAGGCTCGGTGCTATCTCCGTGCCGTGCGATCGTACTCCGGCGATGCTGGGTGGGGTGCAGGGAGCCAGCTCGGTGGCGGCTCAGCGGGAGGGGTGGGGGCCGGTCCCGAACCCGGGCGGAGGGGCCACGGGTGATTCACCGGGAACTCCGTGGTCGCGCGACTCGACCAGCGGGCGACGCCCAGTGCGCCTCACGTCCCCGCCCCGGGCTGCTCTTGCAGAAGCAGCCCCCGATTGCCCCTGCTCCCCCAGACAGACCCGTCGGGAAGGAGCCCGGAACCGGGCGGCGGGCGGGCAGCAACCTCTCCCTCCTCAGCCACCATGGCCGGTGCGACTCCCTGCCCGCGCCCGCAGCAGACTTCCTGGAAAGCACCGGGCTGGGCTTACCTGACTGTCGCCCGCAGGGGCCGCCGATCTCTTCACAAACCCACGGAAACTGCCGGCCGCAAGCAGAAGCTCGGTCCCCAGCACCCGCCCGTCCTCCCGCTTCGGCCTCCCAAGGAGTTGCCGGACCCACCCGCCTGCAGCTCCCTCACTCGACCGCCCGTCGGTGCCGCGGTTCCTCCTCCACCGCCGACGCGCGTGCGCACTCCCAGGCCGCGGCGCATTCGGGGAGTTGTAGTTGGAGCGGGGAGGGCGAGGCTCAGCGCTGACCCTGGTCTTTACAATGGGCAGAACGCAGGAAGGGACTGCGAATACCAAGCCTTACCCCAGTGTAAGACAATGGTCTTCACTCGTGGAGGTACCTACTGTGGGCTTCCCGGAAGCTGGAAATAGTATCTAGAAGCTCTTCAGTGAAGATTTCCTTTTTACTTTGACCTTTTGTAAAGAAGCCTACACGGCAGGGCTTGCATTGCAGCCTTCGTTGTTAATGCAAGAACATGACATTGGGTCTTTTAAACTGGTCATGAAAGTTATGCAAAAGTAAAGGAATAAAAGCTAAAGCCCAAGCGAGGCATAAATCATGCGGATGTCCCTTCCAGGGTGTGGTGACCCTAGTGGTTTCCTCAGGTATGCAACCGGGGATGATGTCGCAACTATTGCAGGGGAATTTCCGCCTGTCCTGCCTTCCCATTCCATCTTCAAGCTCTACACTAGGCTGTGGGGCTGGCTGCTGTGAGTGTGAGAAAAAACAGAAGCGGCTGCTCAAGGGAGGGATTGGGGCAGACGGGTGAGTAGTCTAGAGGGAAGAGGAAGAGTGTGGGAACCTCTCAGAGGGCTGTTTGATAATGGCCTATGTAATCGTTACCTTTTGTGCAAGGCTCTGACTACAGGGAACTGCGATATTTTTCCATTCATTCATTTAGTCGCTTACTGGGAATTTTCCTGACCTGCTCTTCAGGAGTAGACAATCCCAGGAGTAATGCTAAGCTTTGACACACCTTTCAAAAATACAGCTAAGGAAGTAGACTGACGTGCCTGCTTGAGGTACATTCCAGCTACACCCAGTATGGGAGCCACTTAATGGTTTAAACCTCTCCTGGCATCTACTTTTTCCCCTCACAGGAGGGGACACCCTAGGTTAGGTAAACGTCCTGAAATTTCATGCAACTGCCACCCATAATTTCAGCAATGGAGATTACTTATGGTTTGTTTTTTTTAAAGAAAAAAAAAATCTCTGCTTGTTTTTCTCCCCCCGAGACGGAGTCTTGTTCTGTAGCCAGGCTGGAGTGCAGTGGCAAGATCTCAGCTCACTGCAGGCTCCGCCTCCCGGGTTCAAGCGATTCTCCTGCTTCAGCCTCCCCAGCAGCTGGGATTACAGGCAAGCGCCGCCACACCTGGCTAATTTTTTGTATTCTTATTAGAGACAGGGTTTCACCATATTGGCCAGGCTGGTCTCGAACTCTTAACCTTGTGATCCACCTGCCTCAGCCTCCCAAAGTGCTGGGATTACAGGTGTGAGCCCCTGCACTGGCCAGGAAAAAAACCCTTCTAAATTGCAAATACTTAGAGGACAGTCAACACTCAGACTTGTGGCCATTGCATTTTATTTTCTATGTCATCTTTGGGTCGATCTCTTGGAGAAAACAGCTTTCTGAGAGCAATTTCCTACAGAATTCAGATTTATCTGAATGTTTATATTTATAATACATACCAACCACTGGGCCAGCACTTCATTCATATCTCATCTGATCCTCAAAACTAATCTAATCCTCATAACTCTATAAAGAATAAACTAGTATCCTCCATTTCTATAGATGAAAAATGAAGACTCGGAAAAGTTAAGTAATTTGTATAAGGTCCCACAGCCAGTAATTGGAGATCCAGAAATGAGACACAGTTCTCTTGACTCAAGTTCTTTTGTCTTTCTCTCTTTTCTTTTCTTTCTCCTGGGCTACAGTGATCCTCCAACCTCACCTAAGTAGCCCTGAGCAGCTGGGACTATAGGCATATGCCACCACACCCACCTAATTTTATTTATTTATTTATTTTTGTAGAGACAGGGTCTCCCTATGTTGCCCAGGCTGGTCTTGAACTCCTGGGCTCAAGGAATCCTCCCACCTTGGCCTCCCAAAGAATTGAAATTATGGACATGAGCCACCATACCCAGCTGATATGGTTTACTTTAAGAAGGACTTTCCTCTGCAATATGGCCTCTTTTGCTTTGGTCAGAGAGGTTTTTTAATTCAGTATCTGACTGACTTAATACACTTTTCCTCTCTCACCTTCCACTATGGGCTGTTAGGCAAACACTAAATATATTTTCTCGTTTAGCTATTCATTTCAAGTTTTTCCTAAGGAACAAACCTCTTATTTTAGTTACTTTTTCTAAAATAATGCAATCTGATGTTTTCTTTTCTTCAGACATAAATTATCATATTTTAATCGCAAAGCTTATAAACATGAATCTCTTAAATCTGTGTACATTGAATAGCACATATGGGGCCAGAGATATTAAGAATAAGATCTTAGTCTTGGCTAGCGCTGAAGAGGTAGAACCTTCCTCACTTTTTCCACTCCTTTGCTACAACATATTCTCTATATTAGCAGCCAGAATGACATTTTTTTTGAGATGGATCTTGCTCTGTCGCCCAGGCTGGAGTGCAGTGGCATGATCTCGGCTCACTGCAACCTCTGCCTCCTGGGTTCAAGCAATTCTTCCTGCCTCTGCCTCCCTACTAGCTGAGATTACAGGCACCTGCCACCACACCCAGCTAATTTTTGTATTTTTTTTAGTAGAGACAAGGTTTAGGCATGTTGGCCAGGCTGGTCTTGAACTCCTGACCTCAGGTGATCTGTCCACCTTGGTCTCCCAAGGTGCTGGGATTATAGGCATGAGCCACTGCACCCAGCCCAGAATGATCTTTTAAAAACAAATCGAATCATGTCACCATCTTGCTCCAAACCATTCATGGCTTCCATCACATTTAGAATAAAACCCCAAATTAACAGCTCTACAAATCTGTATGTGATTGTTTTGTTTCCTGCCATGTATTCTCTCTGACTCTGCTCCAGTCATACTGGCCTCCTTGAGGGTTCTTAATCCTGCCAAGTTTCTCCCCATCTCAGAGTCTTTATGCTATGCAGGAGAATGATTTTCCTCGAAGCTGCTTCTGGCTCATGCCCTCATTTTAATGAAAGTTCTCCTAAAATGTGACCTCTGAAAGCCTTCCTCTTATCATCTTACCCTGTCATTCTCTCCTGTCTTTACTTGTCTTCATAGCACTTTTACAACCTAACATCATATTTCTTGTTTCCTTAGTGGAAGCTCAACAAGCTTTGCTTTGTTTACTCCTCCATCCCCCTAGCATCTACAATACTGCCATCACAGTAAGTATTCAAAAAATATTTGTAAATAAATGAATGTTGGATTCTTCCCTCTGTCTCCTAATCTTGGGACACAGAACCAGAATGTTCACCTGTAAATGCCAGCCAGTGACCTGATTCAGCTATAAACACCAGCAGCAAGAGCGTTGACTAGACAGGAGAATAAGATCCTGTGAAAGTTCTGAAATAGGCTGGGTGCTGTGGCTCATGCCTGTAATCCAAGCACTTTGGGAGGCTGAGGCGGGTGGATCACGAGGTCAGGAGGTCGAGACTATCCTGGCCAACATGGTGAAACCCCATCTCTACTAAAAAAATACAAAAATTAGCTGGGAATGGTGGTGTGCGCCTGTAGTCCCAGCTACTTAAGAGGCTGAGGCAGGAGAATTGCTTGAACCTGGCAGGCAGAGGTTGCAGTGAGCCAAGATCGCACCACTGCACTCCAGCCTGGCGCCTGGCAACAGAGCAAGACTCTGTCTCAAAAAAAAAAAAAAAAAAGAAAAAAAGAAAAGAAAAGAAAGAAAGAAAGAAAAATAAGAGGGAGCTCTTTTTAAAGAATGGCACAATTTAGGATTGCCACTATTCGCTTATAGCTGGAAACCTAATTCTTGGAGGAGAACAAACAGGAAAAACCTGGAAACTATATTTACATAAATAAGTGAAAAGGTAAGTCCACTTAAATACTTGTGGTAGATTGAAATATTGCTCCCAAATATTTGCTCTCTTCTAGAGGAATAGACAGGCTTGCCCACTACTATGTAACTTCCAGTGCTGCCTTGTAGGCATTTCAGGCTTGGCTATGATCCCATGATGGGATTTTCCTCCTCTCTTCAGATAAACGTCATATTGGGTAATCACAAAGTTTAGAAACATGAATCTTGCTTTGGTCAATAAAATATAAGTGGAAGTGACAATTCTGACCGTTCTGAATGGAAGCTTTAAGAGTCACTGCCTTTCTCTGCTACTGTGCCTGCTCTTTCCCTCCACCAAGAGAAAGTCGTGTTCTGAATAGAGGCTGGTCATTCTACCTGAATTCTAGAATAAGAAATCACGTGGGTCAGAGCCTCAGCCACTAGCTGACATAATATAACGTGAGCAAAGAGGAAACTGAAGTTTAGGTTCATTTGTTACTGTAGAGTTACTTAGCAAAAGCTGACTACTATAGTACCTAATTAAGGAAACATAACGATGTGAACTAGAAGTGGTATGGCACACCCAACCTTCTGCATTTAACCCACTTTAACTAATGGAAAACAGTTGAAGTTCAATACACCAAAGAGTACAAATCTGAGACCTTCAGGTAAAATATCTGAACCAGGGACAGAGTATAGTTCCTATTAGTGTTCAGGCTTTGGTGAGAGTGAAAGTGATTGGTAAAATGACACTCTAACTCTATTTAATGTACTAATATTATAAGCTCGAATTAGTGTTATCTCTAAACTTCCAGCCAGAGTAACTCAGAAAGCATGTCGCACTGAATCATCATATGCTAATTAATAATAGCAACACTTTTCTTGTTATCAAAGGGTTCCTTTAGGAAATAGTTACTTTGGTATATGTAAGCATATTTTGTGTGTACGTAAAAACATGTAGTTTAAAGGAGAACTGGGAAGAACTACAGACATAAATTTGAAATGAAAAGATAAGGATTTCATTATGGAAGCTTGGAGGTGGCAGTGGGAGGTAGGAATCACAGAAGATAAACATCATGGTTGAGAGCACACAGTTTCATAGGAATGATTCAAGCACACTCTGGCTTGAAATGCTCTTTTTCTATCATCCATTTCTTCCTGTTAGAAGCCTCCTCATGTTTCACTGTCCATC